ATATTTTTTAAAAATTATATATTTTAAAAATTGTGTGTTTAGAATTTAATTTTTCAATAAAATATATTTAGAGAAAATGGCATTTACAACATTATGGTATTGCATGTTTCATATATATTAATATATATATATATTTGTGATAGTCTTTTGTATGGCTTTGGGAACTATATGCCATTATTACCATTATTTTTATATTTGACTTATAGGAGTCTCAGAACAAAATTCCATTGTAGGACTGTAACTACATGTTAATTTATATCAGTCATACTACTGTTCATCTTGGAATTTTAACATTATTCACTTATATCAATAGTAGATGTTATTTTTGACATTCTACATTTTCAGAAAACAAAATTAACCAAAATTTAAAAATATACCATATTTTTGCAGATTGACTGGCATGCTGCATATAACTGGGGGAACCAGAATGATGAAAACACCAAGCCAGTTAAACTGTGACTAAAAAATAAAATTAATCAGATCTAACAAAACTAGTTGTTAAATGTTACAGGAAACATTTTTTTGAGTACAATAAAATAACAACATTGTAATTTGATCAATTTACAACCAGAAGAGATTTTTTATTTATGGGTAATAAAATAATTAGTAGCTTATTGAAATTAGTACCAGTAGTAGTAGTTAGTCAGCCTGAGCTGCACTGACAATCTGCTGTGAAAGTAATAACGTTTTATGAGTACTACTAAGACGTTGAAAGATAACACCTTCCTTTCAAATTTCACATAGAGCAAATGTTAATTGTGCAAGTTCAGATAATATACAACAATTTTATGAAATTTGATATGTTTGTTTGTTGTGTTTTTTGATCAAATTACAATGAAATAAACAAAAAAAATGCTACAACTATTGATATGAAAAATAAATTCAAAATGGAGAATATTCTAACAATATCATGCACCAACCTTTTCATTTTCCAGCATCAGTTTAATGTTTTGACTAACATTTTTTATCTGTTTTACAGTTATTCTTTAGGTCTCTCTCTCAGTAACCCTATTCTTCTATTTCATTAAAATTTGAATAATGATTTCTAAATTTTGGAATTTTCCATAAAAAAATTTTTAAGTATCATTCTATTTTTAATAATTTAATAATTAATTCATTTGTGTAAAATAATAATCATCATATATAAAGAAAACTAGGAGATGATGTTTTTAGTGCCATTACATTTTGTTTTAGTTTTATCATCTTCTGTAATATGACCTCCATGAATTTGATAATGAATCACAATCCCTGCTGTTTATATATTCCAGCAACATTAAACAAGGTATTGTTTAATGTTGTTTAATGTTCCACACTGTCCCTATTCTGTGGAGGAGTAGGTGGGAGGCCGTTGGTGAATTGTTGTGCTAATTTATGGACCATGGTGTTGAATCCATGTTGACTAGGGACAGTGTGGAACAAGACCACTGCCTCATTCCAGTCACATACAACCCGTTCCTAACATCCCAGTATCAAAAAATAGCTAAAAAACAAGGAGTACGCTTATCATACAGAAGATGCCCGTCTATGTTTAAGCTTCTACGCAATGAAAAAGATAAACCTAACGAGTATAAGCTATCATGGGTATACACTGTCCCCCTCACTGACCATAGATTTGAGAGGGAACTGGTCTACATTGGCGCTACTAGACGTGCTATTGGTGTCAGATGGACTGAACACCGACGGGACATCCTCCACAAAAGGGGTTCTACGTCATTATCCATGTATGTGTTAGACCCGGAGATTTCGGCAAACTTCGACAATGCCAAACTCCTCATCACTACACCATTTACGGACCACCTCAAGTGGTTGGAACAAATGGAAATTTGCAAAGCATACAACACTTCTGCACCTATTAACTCGAGGGATGAGATTACCCTGTCCCTAGCATGGCAGGTCCTACTCCAGAAGGAGGATTCACATTAATAAATACGTATAGTAAATAGGGTATTAAAACCTCATACCCGCTGATATGCTATTTTATTTTTTCTTTATTTATTTTTTCGTTAACATAAAAATCCATAAAAACCTTTTTAAGAAAAACGAGCATTACATTACGGAATACTGGAATGCACGTGATTTACATTGATATTTGAATTTTGACTTTTGAAATGTGGTTCGGAAGAAGTAGTTTTTCGAATATCGCAGTTTTGAAGGAGTTCATTCTACTGGTCTTCGTTCTAACAAATTTTAAAGAAGAATAGTTGCTTGAGAAAGGACCCAGGGAGGGATCCGAAAACGTTTGCATATAATTTTACTCTTGTTTAATACTGGTTAAAGGGTTTGATGAGGGATTATTTTTGTATTTTAATCTGGTATTTGAAGATTCTTTATGAATAAACAAAAACTCTGATAACACAGTAGCTGTATTCACAGCCTATAGCTTTTTTCTCTAAACAAATTTTTTGTGGTTTTCGTAAAAGTCACAAAAGTATCTCTTTTCCTGATTTTGTTTTTGTTAGTATAAACAAATTAGTTTAGTTCAGTGTCAAAATCATCTTCAGAACAATACTCACTGACTATCAAAATTTGCCACAAAGGGACCAGAATCATTTTGTGATTTAGAAAATGGCTGAAAGATTTTCTCAAAAATAGATGATGCCAACTAATAGAGTAGTACAACATGGGTGAAATAAGGATTGTAAATTGTTCTGTTGGAATGCATGCTTACAGTTCATAGCTTTTGTAGAACATCACTCTTGAAAGAGAGAGAAGCTTCCCATCTAAAAGTGGTCAAAAGTGGTTCCTTTGCTTGCACAGTAGGAAGCATCAAACTTCCTACTGTGCAAGCAAAATATCCCATTTTTAGAATATAGTGCTTCTAAAAGCAAGAAAAATGAGAGAAAGGTTTTGTAAACCTCTGGAATATTTGTTAAATTATTAAATAAACCAGATTTTGATACATTGCTGCATACAATGCACTCTGTTGTACTCAGTAAGTAGATTAGACCTACTTATTGAGCATAACAACTTTAAAATTACACAATAAAACACTTTTTTAATTTTATTTACAGTTGTTTATTAGAGCAAGTGTACAACTACAATTACAGTTAAAATTATTTTAATCTTTTCTAAAATTTGTGTTGTTTTGAGAAGTCAATGGACTAATTTAGTCCTTTTTAAAACTTCTAGAGCTTATTTTTAGTACCATGCCTGGCCAAGATACATGAAATGAACTGTATGGTGTTATATATAAATCTTTGATGACAAAGTATTCTTCCACAGTTTACCTTAGATAAACAAGTCTGATTTAATTGGGACACAATATATATACAGTAATGTGTGTATATTTGTTTATTTGTAAAGAAAAAGAATATTGCCATTAAAATCCTTCTTTCTTTAAAAATTACTGTACAGCACTTATATTTTTTATCCATCTGGCTAGTAAAAATTTCTGAAGAGAATACTTTGTTCTTGTTAGATATTCAATCATTTTGATAAATATTTATATATGTGTATCCATATATGTTGTAATTACAAAGTTACCTTTAAAAACTTTATTCATAATTTATATGATAAAATATTAATACCAAAATTTTCAATTATTTATTAATATAATAATAATAATTGAATGATATTTCATTACTGATAAAAAGTTATTTTAAATTTTTACTAGAATTTCTATCAGTTTTCAATGTAAATTGTTTATGTAAATCAATTGATTCATTCAGACAGCACAATTTTTATATAAAATTGTGGCACGGTGTTTTAACTGACTTTTGAGAAATAATAGATTGTTTTTAAATTGAGAAGTTTTTTCTTTATAAATTTTCTGTCTTCCTTTGGTGGTTAGTAAATGTTAAATGAAATAAAAGAAATTGCAAATAAAAAATGATTTTCTTTTACATGAAACATTTTTGTCAAATAGTTTTTTACTTTAAAAATCTAAAATTTAACTTTTAGAACAAGATTTATGAGTAATATCTTGCAGATAATTGAAACAAAATTGGAAATAACGTTACCAGAAGATCTCAGTTCATCACTAATGGATGGAGTATTGTTATGTCGTTTAGCAAATTACGTATCTCCAAATTCAGTGGCTAGTGTCCATGTGCCTTCTGTATCTGTGGTATGTGTAAATTTTATTAATTATATAAATGTCTTTTATTGACTTTATGTAGTCAACAAAAATTCTTATTATTTCTGAATTTAAAATATTACAATTAGACTTTTCAGTTATAATATAATCTATCAGTATATATAAGTGTATAGTATCTTAAATTTTAACTTTAAATTCAAAAATTAGTGCATTAGTGATTGTTTAGTTTCTGGGAAATAAACAATCTTTAGTGCTTTATGACCAATTGAATTTTTTTTCTGTTTTGAAAAGAAAAAGTTTCATTGCCTGAAAAATAGAATATGATGTAATTTTCTAGTTGTTATGAATAAAAAGTGGCCGGTGAAAGCATTCACATTCAAATAAACTTATTTTATTTTGTCAACTAAAATGTTACTTAACTAAAATTGCTATTGCACTGTAGGTGTTACAGGTTAAGAACAAATTGCCAAACTGTCTAATATGGTGCTGTAATATAATACTTTAAAAATTGTAAAGAATTGTAAATTAATAATTTAAATGATAAATAATGTAAACTATTTTCATAATTTAAATAAAAACATTTAATGCTTCTGTTTTTAATAAATAAAAATGCAAATATATGTGAAAGTGGCAATAATTATATACTATGTAATATGGGAATAATTAAGTTCAATGCATGTAAATAAATCAAAAATATTCAGCAGAAATGATACTAAAATATAATGAAAAAACAAATGTTAGACAAAAGAGTAAATAGGGAAAGGGGAATAGGCAACCAAAAATAAACAGATTTTACTTTAATTTTAAGTTATTTTTATATTAATTTGCATAACAATATATGTTAAATAACACACAAACATATGCACACAGAAATGTAAAGTTTGTTTTTTGTGATGAAGGTCTTGGCTCTTCTGAGATTCTTGTTTTTTGCAGTAAAGTCGCATAGTTTCAATTGTCATTTTTTTCTTTTCTGAAGCAAATGTCAGTAGCAGAAGATTCAAAACGCCTCGTTTTGCTTTTGCATTCCTTTCAAAATCTGGATCATTCACTACAGTTTGATCAATGATTTCGGTTATCGTTACCAAACTTATACTATGGAAATCTGTAGAGAAATTCTCTGTGTTCTTCATTTTCAGAACTACTATTTTCCAGTTCTACATGAATTCCTTGTTCTGCTAGTTCTTGAAGGTTGTCATTGGTAAGGCTCTCACCAGAAACCTGCAGTAACTCCTCAATATCCTGCTCATCTACACCTAGTCAGTCCTGCTGTATCGATTAGGGCTAGTTCACACTGAGCTATTCGGATAGCGAAAGCAAATGAGAAAAACGAAAAGTGATTTTTATTCACTTCGCGAAATTGACCCATACAGCCAAAAACGAAAAGTTATTGCGAATTTTAAGGAGCCAGTCATTTGCAAGCAAGCGAGAACATCATCTGAAAAAAACAAAATGACTGCTTCTGATTTTCCACATTTGTTTATTTATTGAGAAAGAAAGATATGTCAAAAAGAAAATGATGCTGGATGAGAGGAATATTAAAAATCCATAATTACAACACTTACTCTATTGCATGAGAAAGTTTCTGTAGCCATCTCGAAAACAACAAGAACCACGTGACAAGTAACAGGAATATGATTAATGGCGGAATTTTTTTGCTAGCAAAAAAGCTTGACAGTTTTGAACTTTGAAGTGATTCTCAAAATGGTAAAATTTGCCAGAAACAACGTCATGTCTGATATGTTATTCGCTCTGTTTTTTGCTTTCACCAGCAAATCGCACTCAGTGTGAACTTAGCTTTAGGCTCTTCTTGTTGAGAATTCTTGGATACCTTCAGCCATAACTTCTTTCACACTTTATTCATGCATTTATCAGTTAATTCTTGCCATGTGAAGTCAATATTGTCCATGGCATCCATGATGTTATATTTTTCCAAAATTGCACCAAATGTAGATTTAAGGAAAGTACAGCACTATGACAAATTGCCACCTTTTGTTAATTGGTTTGTGTTTGGGAATAATCAATGAAATATCATGATCATTTGAATCAGCATAAATTTTGAGCTTTTTTCAGGCTTCAAGCAGACTGTGTTATATTGAATCAGTGTTAAATGGGGTCTTACTGTAATATGATACATACTGTTTTTATTGTAATAATTTGTTTTTCTATCAAAGAGTAAAGCAATAATGGGTTAAATATATTGTAGTAATAAATTGACAAATTTTCCTTGTATTTTCTTTTAGAATATTATATTTTTATATATATATATA